TTAGTATAAGTGCAATGACTGGGGCTATTACAAGTTCATTTCCAAAATCTACCCTCTTCTTCCTTTCATACAATCTTTCATCAGGCCACTTACTGATTATCTTGTACCAGAGCATCCATTCCACCAGGATTTGGTTTTGTCCAACAAGATTTATTTCTATTTAGTGCCATCTCAAGGTTCCTGGAAATTCCCATAGCTGAATTCTAAAACTCCTGACAGTCTACCTATTGGGATTCAGAAAAACAAGCACATTTAGCCTTAAATAAGAAAAAAAGTGAAATTAAGGAAGTAAAAAGAGTGTGCTGGGCCTTTGATTCTGTCCTCAGAATGGTTTTAAGAGGAGGCCATGGGAAAAAAGTTGCAGTTGTGGTTGTGAAATAGGTCTTCAGAGGTGACAGAAAGGACTAAAGCCAGGGACAGAAGTGGCAGTGTTCATCAGACAACTCTCTTGTCACAAGTGGTGATACCTCAATACAGTGGTTTAAGCTAGAACAGGTAATTCATTAGATCATTTCTAAGTATGGAAGAGCAGAGTGTGATAGCATAGATGGAAGCTGGCGTGGGAGTCAGCTATTGCCAGGGACTTGAGCTATCAGGATGGAGCCTACTTCTCATTTTTGCTCTTCTTTGTGGAGTTTTTTCTTTCACTGTAACTGCATAAGAGTGATGTGGAGGATGAAATCTTTGAAAATGGGCCTCAGTTCTGTACTCAAGTTTTTTAATTACATGATTAGAGATGAAAGAATGCTCTTTTCCCAGCTGGAGTTAGACATTTCTTTAGGAAAGAACTACGGGAGACCCACTTTGGGTCATATGCCAACTTCTTTGCCAATTAGCACGATGGACACAAGAAAGTGCTATGGTAGCTGAGTTGGGTCCTGTGCCCACAGGTAGAGCCAGGGAGGCAGGATTGGTAGCTAGAAGAAAAGGAAGTGGTACATTTATTGCCTTTCAGACCAGGGATGCATCATGGAGAGCTTGGTTTGTCCTGCCAAAGAAGTTGGAGTTTATCCTACATGCATAGCTTACCTATCACAGGACTTAAAGTAGGAAAACAAAGTAAGTTTTAAAAAGGCCATTCTGGTAGTAATGTAAAGGAGGAAATGGAATTTTTTCCTCAGTTTGATTGAGGTATAATTTTTTCCAGCTTTATTGAGATACAATTGACATATAACATTGTGTAAGTTTAAGGTATAGAGTATGATGACTGAATACAGGTACATACTGTGAAATGATTACCACAATAAGGATAGTTAATATATCCATTGCCTCACATAATTAAACTTTTTATGTGGTTAGAATATTTAAGATCTACTTTCCTAATGATTTTGAAGTATACAATACAGCGGTGTTAACAAAGTCACCTGTCATACATAACATTCCCAGAATTTATTCATTTTATAACTGGAAGTTTGTAACCCTTGACCAACATCTCATTCCCCCTAGACCCTAGATTCTGGCAACCACTGATCTTTCTTCCTATGAGTTTGACTTTTTTAGATTCCACATATAAGTGATATACAGTATTTATCTTTCTCTGTCTGACATACTTCGCTTAGCCTGATGCCTTAAAGATTCATCCATCTTGTCACAATGGCAGTATTGCCTTCTCTCTCTCTTTTTAATCAATGAGTAATATTGCATTGTCTATGTGTATATATACCACATTTCTGTATCCATTTCTCTGCCAATGGACACTTCGGTTGTTTAGCTATTATAAATAATAATGCAAAGCACATGGGGGTGAAGATACCTCTGGAGATAGTGATTCCATTTCCCTCAGATATATACCCAGAAGTGAGATTGCTGGATAATATGGTAGTTATGTTTTCAATTATTTGAGAAACCTCCATAATGTTTTCTATGTGAGTGTACCAACTTACATTCCCATCAACAGTGCATAAGGGTTCTCTTTTGGTACAACCTTGCAAACACTTGCTATCTCTTGATTTTTCTGATAATAGCCATTCTAACAGGTGTGAAACCTCATTGCATTTTTGATTTGAATGAAATAGAGATTTTAAATACAAGAAATAAAGGTGTTAGTTAGGAGACGATTCTACACATTTAGCTAAGACACGGTGATGGCCGTAAGGAAGGCAGTAGTGATGGGTGTGCAGAGGTAGAGTAAGGTTTCAGAAGTATGAAGGTAAACTCTGTAAGGCTGTCCAGGCCTGGAATGGAGAGTAGTGCATTATGAGAAACTAATATAACTCCTCTATTTCTAGCTGTGTGATTGCATAAGTGATAGGATCCTTCACAATGTATAAAAAATGTGAGAAAAATCAGATTCAGCAATAATTTTTTCTTTAATTCATTATAGGGCATGCCCAGTTTTCAGCTCTGTGTTACGTGGCAGTGACCACAAGCTTTCCTATGCCCAGTGAAAGAGTCCTTATTACTCTTACTTGCCTTTGTCTTTGATGTAACTGAACTTAGTTCAGCAGATGATGTTGATCAAAGAGTGGGTAAAAACCTTTCAGAAATATCTGTGATAAGAGAGCCAACCAGGAGAATGCTTTGACAAATGGCTTTCTCTCTCCCCACTTCCTGAGCCTCCAACCTGTATCTTCCATGGGAACTTGGGCACACAGAGATGCTAGTTCTTCAGATGGTACACTTTTTTTTTCTTTTTACTCCTATGTATGTGTAAGTATAGATTACAAGTGTATGGATTACAAATGGCTGCACACTACTTTTCAAATCTTCCACAAATTTTAGAACAAAGAGTACCATGGGTGGACGTGGGACACATACCTGTAAGGACATCAGTGAAGAGTTTAGAGACCATCCGTGGTCACACATTTGAGATTCTGAAATGGTCTGAGATCTAATTACTATCTGTCTCAATGTCTGTGTTTTCTCTTTAAGGTCTCCTGCTTATACTGCAGTAGAGCTCAGGGTCACCAGCTGGATGAGGACATTGTTGTGACCTTGTTGAAAACTTCATTCATAATTGGATCTCATGGCCTCAGACTATAGGATGCACTGTTCCTATTTTCTTCTTCTGTGTTTATGTCTCAGTAATCATTTTGCGAAGCTAACCAGCATGATTTTTTTAAGATCCCATTATTAAGTAGTGTCAGTTCTTTTTACCAGAAGGATTTGTGTTTGTGAATCTGTTCTAGGCCAGGGATTGGAAAACTGTGGCCTGTAGGCTAGTTGCCAGGTTTTGTTTTAAAATGCTTTGATGGGAACATAGCTATTTCCATTTGATTAACTATCTCTATGGCTGCTTTTCTGGTAAAATGGCAGAATTGAATAGTTGTGATAAAGACTAACTAGCCTTTAAAGCCTGAAATATTTACAGTCTCACTCTTTAAGGAAAGGTTTGCTGACTTTTGTTGTAAGCTATGATTTCTTAGTAAGGGGCTATCCTAGTAACAACTAATATTCTCATTTAAAGCATCTAAGAATGGAATTTTGGAAAATTTATTTTTTAAAAAATCTACCTTTCCTCTGTCAGCTTCTTTTTCTCCACATAATTTATACTTTTATATTATGTATACAACTTTGGCTGGATTTGCTACATTTTCCCCACAAACAGTGCTATAAGTCAGTTAGCACGGCCAGAGTACATGTGTTTTAAAAGTTGCATTCTTGGGTAAAATAGAAAAAAGAAGTAAATCAGAACCATATTTTTTTTTGCTACTGTCCTGTTCTACCTATAATGGAGAATTATTTTTCTTTTAGATTATTTTTGAGAAGAGCTAAAAAAATTCAAATGTTTTTGTCAAAGAAGTAACTACTTATTGTTATTCTTTGTGCATTCTAATCTCATTTTATTTCCAGGGAAGAAAACAAACATGTCTCAATTATGTCACCCTATCAAGCTGAATCTTTACAGTTTTTCTGTGGCTGACTATATATGACTCCTAAGATATCTGGACTGAAAGCACATTAGAAATAGGACTTAAGAAATCTCTCATATGGTGCTTATCTTTATGTAATGTTGGCCCTCCCTTGGGCAAAACATGGTCTCTTTCTGAAGGAAGTAAAAGTTAAAAGATGAATGTAATGGTAAGACAAAGGAACAAAAAAACATATCCCTTTGCTAAAACAGAAAAGAGAGAGACCAGTGGTCAGTGGTCTTATCCCAATACACAAGAGGCAGTTTAACATAGTGTTCTGGGATTAGTTTGAGTCTCAACTCTAGGATTTAACAGTTGTGTGAGCTATCTAAGATCCATTTTTTATCCATTATATGAGAGAATAATGGATCCAATTTCACTGAATTTTAGAGTAGATCAAAAGAGTGAGTATATACAAAATACTCTGCAACAGAACCTGATATTTAACAAGTATTAAACAAATGCCAGTACTACTGACAATAGTAGTAGTACCTCCTTTGAAAACTTTCTTACTATCTTAGCTCAGGCTGCTATAACAGAATACTATAAAGTGGGTGACATCAACAACTTATTTCTCATAGTTGTAGAGTTTGGCCATCTGCTGGCACTATCGTCAGGTTCCAGTTAGGACCCTTCCTCATGTGCAGACGGCTGACTACTCAGTGTATACTCACATACAGAAAGAGGGTGAGCTAACAGTTCTCTGACCTCTTTTATGAGGGCACTAATTCCATTCATGAGGGCTCCACCCTCATGACCTAATTACTTCAAAAGTCCCCATCTCCTAAGGGCATCACACTGGGGCTTAGGAGTTCAACGTAAGAATTTCAGTAGTACCCAGACACTCCAGTCATAACATCTATGCTCTGGGAAAAGATTATATTCTGAGAGACTCTGGAGCAAGCCCTATATAGACACAGTTATCTAATGTGAGGCCAGTGATTTAATGGTCCATCAGGAGTAAGTGGCTATACAAAAGGTTAACAAACACTATGAGATCCATCCTAAAGAGGAAGTATAGGACAGACCTGGAATGAGGAGATGACAGCCTCACTAGTGTTTGAATCCACAGTTTCAATCAGATGCACTCTTTTCAGTAAGAAAAAATATTTTGAGTAGAATTACTTACTTAGAAAAGAGTTAACAAATGGCTACTGCTTTATTTAAAAATAAGTTGATCACTTATACNATGCGTGGAGTGGACGGAGCAAGCTCCTATTCCATCTCCCTGCTCCAAAAATCCATTTAATATACTGTCCTCGGATAGAGGACGTATCAGATATTAAACTGATAAGAACAGATACTACACTTGATCTTAGCCAAAAGGCCGAGAAGCGATTGATTACTTATACTTTTATAAATGAAATTAAAAATATTTTCATGGGGACATTAATTTTTAATAAAGGATATATAAATAATTTTATATTTAAGGTATTTCTAATTAATTGATATTACTAATTCATCAACAGTGATCAAATAATCAAAATATACGTATTTTGTATAATCATTAGACAGTCATAGGGAATAAAAGGAACTTCAAAAAAAGCTAAAAAACTAGGACAACCCTATTTTCCCCACCATAGAAGGAAGGAAAGATTTCCTTCTGAAACTTTGAAAGAGGGCCTTTCTCTATATAAAAGTTATGATTTTGTCAAACAATATTGCATTGACAATTATTCATGTTTCTCTACTTGTGGTAAGCTAATAGAGAAATTTGCAAACCAGTCATCCTTATTGTTTAAACCAGGGCTTCAGAGTAAGTACATAGGGGATATGATGGTGCCCCAACTTAAAAAAAAAAAACAGCAATTTTTCTTATTACCATATTTCAACAGAAACATGTACCACAGCTTCAGGAACCTTAACAAGCTTCCCAGGTTATTTCTCTATCCCATCAGGCATATTACAGTTTTTCTTCTCTTTTTCTAAACTAGCTTTAAGTGGATTCTTTTTATTAGTAGGTATTTCAGATTTTTTTTGCTACTCATTTATATTTTTTGCAAGAAAAGTAAAATTTATTTTTGTAATTAAAATATCAAGTTCTATTAATATTTCAATTCCAGGTGCTCTCCATACTGTAACATACTCATAAATATAATATTTTTAAAAGCATTTTTAAGAGTTTAAAAATCTTACTATAGAAAGCAGAGAAAGGTAATCCTTGTTTGTGGCCCTGATTTCATTAGCAGAGTGGCCATGAGAGAATGCAAATGATCTAAATTTATATCAAGAATAGAACACATGGACAAGCTAGTCAGATAATGGAAATCTGTGGACAGTCTCCTGGACAAGTGGATAAGCCAAGGCTGTAGTTGAGCTGGGTGGTTATAGCAAGCTCTAGAAGTTTCCTCCAGAGAAAAAAATGTGAAAAGTGTATTATGTGAAAGTGGATTTCTTTTCCTTTTAAGAAATTATTTGTCTGCTCATCTGAAATTTATGACCTCTTTTAGTATTGTTGTGTGAGAATATTGTGCTACAACTAGTTCAGTTTGCTTTATAAATAAACCTTAGCAAACAATAGCAGAACAACTATAGGAAAACAAGTGTCTGTTTAAATCAAGAATTTGTATTTATTTTGGATGGCGAACTCTCTGAAAGAAATTTAGGTCACCAAATTTATGAATCAATTGCTGTGTGATGTATATAAAGTTTAAAACTGTACCTACTCGGTGTATACTCACATACAGAAAGAGGGTGAGCTAACAGTTCTCTGACTTCTTTTATGAGGGCACTAATTCCAGTCATGAGGGCACCACCCTCATGACCTAATTACCTTCAAAAACCCCCATCTTCTAAGGGCATTTATAGCTATATTACACAAATACAGCTCTTTTAGTACTTCTATGCGTTCTCTGATTTGTTAAACTATGTCTGCTTGTCAGGAACCTGGAAATGTCTGGTCCTGTCATGTTTGGGTCTCTATTAATGAAACATGATGAATCATATACACTTAATCTTTATTTTTTCTCTCCAAAGAGTCCTTTTCCTAAACTCAGCCCATACCTTCTGTGAATCTGGAAAGGTAGGAAAGATAAAATATTAAAGAGAAAAAAAAATACTTCAATATTCTCATATTATAGATTATAAATACCTTAGCTCTGAAAAGCTAAATGACTTATCCTAGACTAGCAATTAGTGGCAAAACATGCAGGCCAGATTTAGATTCCTGTTTCAATAATATAACTTCTGTTTTTGCTTAAAACATACATTATGAATTTAAAAGAAATTATAAGATGTACTGAAATGAAAGAATTGTGCATAGAGGTACATACATTTCAGATTATTTTGGATAAAGTCCTTCAATTTTTAATTCAGTTTCTACCTTAACTAGTAATAATTTTGAAAATATCATTAAATAATTTTGGCACATCAACTCCTATTGCCATGATTTGTAAAATAGTGATTGATTTTCTGATTATGTAGTGAACAAATAATTACTCTGTAAAACTCATAAATTTCTGTATAGAAACTTTGAAAATGTGAATTTAAAAAAAAGTATAAACTCTACACTCTTAGATAATTACTGATACCATTTTGGAGCATTTCCTTCTGTTTTTTATTTTTAATATCAAACTATAAATCTATCAATTCTTTGTATTCATTTACTCAACTAATTTGGAGTATCTATAATGTACCATCTTTACATGCTGGAAATACACTTAAATATAACACAAATATAGCTCTTTTAGTACTTCTATTTTATACTTCTTATGAAAGTTACAGTTAAATAATTTCAAAACAATTACAACTACAGTTACAAAGAAGAAGAGGAAAGTGTCATCTGCATATATAACAAAAGAAACTTTTCTGTAGAAAGGCCAGGGAAGCTCCTGTAAGAAAGTGACATTTAAGTTGATCCTGAGTGAGGAATAGAAGGAAAAGTGGGGTGCATCACATTATGCACCTTCTTTTTTAAATTATATTTTTAATTTTGAACATTTTTTTAAAAGTAGCAGTAGCTATCATTTATTGTGTGTTACCAGATAAAAACTCTCCTTTCTAATAGTCACAATTTTTATAAAATATATATTAATATAACTTAGTAGGTGAGGAAATTACAGAATGTTTTCATTGCCCTTCATTAGGCATTTAGTGTATATAATATTTCAATGTATAAATAAACCTATATTGACAATTATTAATCAAAAATAATTTTGTAATCAGAAATTTGCCATAACTCAGCTAAAAAGTGTGATAATATTAATTACTCACAATATATACAGATAAAATTATTTCAGGAAATATGTTGATTAATTATTCTAATAACATTATAGAGGAATTTCTAACTTGCTGTACTTATGGTACATTTTCTGAATAGTATATTTTGTATTTTTTATATTCAACAAGTTTTAAATATGAAATTTTTTAATATTTGAAATTTTCATTTTCATTTTCTTCTTTTTCTGCTAATGATAATTTGCCACTGTAGTAAATTAGTATCTTGTGTGTTCTTGCTCTGTATTAATATGATTTTTCTATTGGTATCTTTTTGTTTATTTAATTTTTTTTGTCTTTCCTAATGTTATTATTCATGAGAAATTCATGCATTAGAAGTATTAACACATAAATACTTGTTTGGCACATATTTTACTTGTCTCTTATTTAGAATTAATGTTCAAAATTTCTATATAGAACATATTGATGTAGTCTCATTGATGGTTTTCCAACCAATATATATTATAGAGTCTATATTCTATGTGGATAGTCCAAGAAGAACCCCAACCCTGCCACGATCCTCTACAGCTGACCTTGATTAGCTATTTTATGTGTATTCTTGCAACCTTTTAATCTATACATTTACATATCTACAGACTCATATGAACTTCTCTTTTCTACAAAAAATGTTATTGACCTATAAAAATTGTTCTTCAGGATATTGTTATACCTTAGAAATCATTTCCTCTTGGTAAAAATAGCTCTGCCTCATTCTTGTAAATGTTTATGTAGAATTTCATAATGAAAAGTTAGAAATAAAAGCAGTCATGTGCTGGAAAGTGTTTCACAACCAGCTCGAAAGAAGAAAAAAAATTAAAAGCCTGATTTTTATCTTCACTGACCTGTGAGGTAGAAATATTCCCACTCTTGCTGGTTTTATGCTATTAATAGTTTAACTAACAGCTCCCAAAATTCCTGAGAATTTAACAAATGGCTCTCTTGCTAGTTGTACAAGGCTGATCCTTTTCAGGCCAGCTTCCAGATAGAGTTGACTTCTTGCAAGACATTGAAATTATCCACACCAGAATTCTTCAAGGAAATGCCAGTTGAATGCGGAGGCTGCAGGTCAAAGGTAGATGCTACTGATTTGCCATGTCAGAGAGCTATAATCCCAGGGCTTAGGCCATAGCACCTGGTCATGCCTGTGGAACAGCTTACAGTTCTCCAGTCATGAGTACAGATGAAGTAGAACAGAGAGAGAAATCAAGTTTCTGTCATGTTATGTGGCCATAGTCACAGTCAGTTCCTGATTCAGCCAAGGAGGAGCAGGCATTTCTATTTATAGAGGTTGTAACCTGATTACCAAAGGGTTTCATTTCTCTCTCTAAGAGTCTAACATCTAGCACTGAAATTGTCCCAAAATTCTGGGTTCATTTTTTTCCCAATAAGTTGTGTCCCAGTATGGGACCATTCTTTTTAACTAATCTTCTATTAACATTAAATTGTTTATAGTTTTTCATCCTTAAAAACAATGTTTCACAAGTGTCATTATGAATGCAAATATGTAAGTTTTTGAAGGAGAGAAAATTAGAAACGGAATTACTTGATGAACATAAATACACTTAAATTTGTGATTAACAGTGTCCTCTAGAAAGCTCTATTTGGAACTTCACCTACAATTTTTATTTCTGCTTGTTTCTTTTCAATGTTTCCAATATTTCTTGTTTAAATTTTTTAAATGGTTTCGAACAAAGGGCACAAAAAGAGATATCTTGAGCTGACTGAACTTGCATTTTCTGACTAGTGTCAGTGTTGATCATATATTTATTTCCTTAGTATAAAATAGAACATTTTTGTTGTTGCTAGAAATCCAGTTCACAAATTCTAACCACTTTCTGTATATATAATTTTCTTAGTAATTTATAAAAGTTTTTAATACATATTCTGGATATTAACTTTGATCTGTTATAAATGTTTTTAAATTATCTTCCATAGTCTGAATTTTGGCTATGGTGGTTTTCCCCCTACAGAAGTTTATGTTACATGCTAAGAGGGAAGGATATTGCAATACAGGCCTACCTCAGGAAAGAGGAACAATCCCATATGAACAGTATATACTCACAATTAATGAAATTAGAAAAAGAAGAAAAAACGAGGCCCAAAGTCAGTAGAAGGAGGGACATA